GATACATTTCGAATTCACCCGGGGAAAGCGGACTGTTGCGAGCAAAATTAATTTCTATCTCGCGGCTCATATTTAACAAGTCCATTACCGCGCTGTTTAATGTCCGCGAGTCCTGCGATACATTCGTCTCCGCGCCTCTGCGATTACGTAGCGTACGTACATATGCTGGCGAGTCCTTAATTAATTCCTTCTCGGAATTCCATTCGATTCCAGCTAATTCAGCGGTAATTAAAGCAAAATTCCATATGGCGCGCTAATAGCCGCGAAACGAAGACTTTATCCCTCCCTCTTCGCGTCGCGGTCTAACGTGTAATGAGCCTAACGGTGAAATTAACGAAATGCGTGTCGTCGCAGAGCGGTACGCGAGAACGTACTTTCCTCTTACACATGATCCGCTCTCGCGAACGTACACGCCTCCACGCATCGGCAGATCGATGTAACCCCGTTTCGGGTTGAGTAACTGCGCGGCCTGCCTTTTACTACACCGCTCGCGTCCCAGATCGGAGGGACCAGCTGGCCCTTTTTCCCTTGGCGGTCTCTCCTCCACGAAAATGCTGCATGCGCGATGCGGGACGCAAGAAAACCGACAATTAGGCTGACCGCGCGCAGGCGGATCGCGATAATCACGGCCGACTCTCCGGTTTAATAAGCCGCGCTACGGCCGAACGAATATACCACGAATAATAATCTCCCTTCCCCCCTCCTCTACGTTAACGAGGCACGTGGTCACGTTAATTAGATAATAACGACCTTTCGGATCGCCGATCGCGCGATCGGATCGCTCCGAGAGCGAGATTATGAGAATTGCGGGCAACGCAGCCGGCGCAGTTGAAATCCGACATCTATGATATTGTGGGATACGAAGGGGATACTTTTACAACGAAATTGTTTTTCCATCCATGTTTTATGATGGATGATTAAGACAAATAAAATTCTCAATTCAGGAAACGCGCGATGCCAGGACCGAGCTGTGTAGCGCCAGCTCTGTGGGTCAAGCCATAAGTTCATGAATATTTATTACGCTCACACACACACACACACAAACATATACACACCGGGAATATTTATCATCTCTCTGACAGAGGTGGAATAAGGAGGTTGCCAGTAAAAGGCGGTAACAAATAATGAATTATGTTTATTATGCGGGAATATGTGCCGTTAATTATAAGAGTGACGTTCTTTTATTTATCGCGCCTGAGAATTCCCGAAAGCGTGCAGGACTCGCGGAGTGCGATAATCGCAAATGTTAGCCAGAGACTTATTTAATTAGAGATTAGTCCGAGATTTTCGAGAGAGAGAGAGAGAGAGCCTCGGCGTTGACATTAAGACAGATAAGATCCCATGTGTTGTGTTGTACACGCGCGTACGTTATATATGTTGCGAGATCGGCGACCGCATAATTGCGAAACAATGAGATTAGAATGCATGTATCGCGTGTACCTTATGTATACGCTTGCTTGTTAAATACAACCGACAATTACCCCGCGCAACCGTTTACAATCGATCAATCCGCTCGTTAACAGGCCCACCGCGTACAGATTACTACGGGAACCCGCAGATTAATTCCCCCTAACTTTTATCGAAAGGATATCGTACGTTAAATATTACTGCATCTATAAGTAATTGTCCATATAGGTCTTCCCCCCTCTCTCTATCATCTTATAGAAATTTATAAGAAAATAATATCCAATGATGCAATAGTGTGAAGAAGTTTCTAAAGATTATAATTACAGTAGCTGATTTATAATTACAATAAGCTTTACTGTAACAATAAGATTCTTTACACTCTTCCTCTCTATTGTGTAATAAACTTACTTTTCCAAGAGAAATTTTTCTGACAGAGGAAAATCCTTTCTGGAATGTAGATTTGAACATAAATTTGCGGATGACGATTAATTATAAATCGGGACAGAATTTTTCAAAGATCTCTGATAGAAAGAAATATATGCAGCTTTCTTAGATATCTACCCAATTACTGTCTAGTATTAATGCATTCTCATTAATTGTAGCAATATTGCTTAGGAAATGGACAAGAAATTTATAGAATTTTATTCAGTGGTACTTTTAAGGCAAAAACTGTCATTTCACGCATGGAGAAAAATATTTTGTTAGCACAGCAAATTGTTAGTTACTATAAGGACGGCAAAAAAATTTATTTGGACAACAAAAAGATATATTTAGACAGCAAAAAGTTTTTGAATTAAGAGTATTAATTGCTATTTGCTGGATATATAGACAGCAAAATAATTTAATTATGCCAACTAAATTTTATCTCTATCACAACAATGATTTTGCTGTAACAGAAAAATTATTCTCTCCGTGTAACAAATCTTTTTATTGTTGCCATAGTAACTAACAATTCGCTGCAAAATTATTTATTTATGTGAACAGCAGGCTTGCCTATTAATCGGTTAAATAGTTTTTTGTCCATTTATTATTTTGTTTTTTTTTTAGTAAATAGGTTCAGATTTTCCTTATCTTTTGTGCGTAACAACTGCAAGAAAAGCATCTTGATTGGAACCCCAAGTAGTTTTACTCCTTAGCTGCTAGATAGAAATTGATAAACTGCCCAGTAACTGTCCAAAAATACATGAAATTTCTCTAGGAATTGAAAATACGTAAAAGACGAATTTTTCCCAAGTATCTTCTTTTGTTCTTTCTTTTTCAATGAGACGGTAATACCGCTCATAGACGTGAGCTCCTGAACCGCCGCTCCTTGAGCTCACATGTAAGTCCGATCCGCGTGCTATTTTTAGCGCTAAACAAGCTTTTACATGTTCTACGTCAATGTCTCTATTTCTTCCGTGTTCGCCTTCGCGGCATTTTGCATACCCGAGCGAGGATATCCGTCGGGATGCGAAACCTGGAAACTTCCAGGCGCAAATACGAAAGTAGATACCGCGAAAATAACGCGAGGCGCAAGACGATACCGTGGACCACGCAGAGGCACGATAAAGAGGTTGCGTCGCGCTATTATGGCAGCACGTAGCTGTCAGGTTTATCGGGGCGCGTACTCGCCGTGTGGAAACACAGTAGATTGTCCGGTTTATTGAAAACTTCCTAGGCACCTCTACACGCGGACGGCCGCATGTGCCAAAAGTTTAACTTCTATCGCATTCACATAATGTGATAGGCGTGACAAGGCGCGGGAAAGCTCGCCGCTCGTCCTGCTGCTAACTATACACCACCCTTGTACCGCGACTTCGCTATATTGCCGACTACCACGCTCCGGATTACGCTCTCACGATCATCGGTATAATAAAAAAAAAAAGGAAGTAAGCTGAAATTCCTGTTCTCTCTTTTTCTTTCTTCGTTATATGCAACGTAACGCATAACCGATAACGATGTATCAAGAATAATAAAAATTACGGTTTCGCTTCTGGCTGCATGATTTTACGCGGGTCTGCCTTTCGAGAACGAATATACACCGATAAAAATGAACGAATCAGTTCTTGGAGAACGAATTCTTCGTTCGAAGTATCGCCTGCCCCGTGTGAGTCAAGCTCCCCTTCGCGCACCGTTTAACGGCCGGATTACTCATCTAATCGGGACAAGCGCGATCTTTATCACACCGTGCAGGGCCTAATCAGTTTTATACGTCTAAAAACTCGTGCGTCAATTTTCGGAACGCTTTATCACTCACGCGTGCGAACGCAGTGCTCCGCGAATCACATGTCAGAATCGCGGAATATACGTATCACGCTCAGAATTCCGCGGAAGAATGCGTTGGCCGTTGCGTTATATCACATATAAGCAGCTCGTGACAGGAATGTCCCTGGCATTCTTATGAATTATGTTTACCAGGAGAGATTTCGTGGAATTTTATATAATGTGTGTGCAATAAGATATTAAATGACATTCAGCTTATTTACACGCATAGCGAATCATTGGCATTTATTAAACAAGTCGCATCGGGTTTACATTACGAGAGAGCTTATCGCCGATCACACAGTTAATGATGTTATTGCAAACGCATACCGTTCTACACTTTCAAAACAGTTTAAAACATCGATTACATCGGTTGATATATGGAAAATAAATTAATGTCAATTTAAGACTCATGTTGTCATATAGAAGCAAGAATATATAATTTCTTATATGAAGATAAAATTTACTTAAGTGAAGAAATTTTCTATTCAGTCACACTAAAAATGTCATATTCTTGTTATTTAATGATAATTTTTATGAATTGAGTGGGCAAAATATTGAATAGATAGAATGATATTTTCAAACTAAGAATAATAACAGCTTGAAGATATCGTTGTTCTTAACCCTATTTTTTCCTTTCAATTCATAAAATTTATTCTCGAATAACAAAAATATGTTATTTTCGAATAACAAAAATGTGTTATTCTCGAATAACAAAAATATGTTATTTTTAGTGGAACTATATTGCAGGAAATAGAGAGAGAAAAGGATGAAGGAGGTGTGGACAGCTTTAAATACTTAGGATTTATATTTAATAGGAATGGGAATTAGAAAGATGTCATCAGAGAGCTAAGTATAGGAAAGGTATAAAGAATGTATATTTTGTAAGGAAGGACAGGATTGTACAGAACATTATATTGAGAAATATCAGGAGTGAAAGGTTGCGTTAACAAGCAACAAAGTAAGAATAAGAAAAAAAGAACTAGAAAAGATATAGAGTGACGAATTAGGTAGAAAAGAGGAAGGTATTAAAGAAAAATTGCAGAAAAAAAAGTAAAAAATAAAGAGAAGGGCAAATATCAAGGAATAAGTGATGTGATAACACGTAGTGAGTTAGATTTAAGTTTTAGGTTTATATAGGAGTAATGATAAAATGCGANATATATGGAAGTGAAAGTTATAGAATTAAGGTGTGAATAAATGAATATGGTAAGTTCAAAGTGTAAGCCAAATCGCCTTCTTGGAATATAAATTGAAATATATATATATATATATAAATATATATATTGGAATTATATATAAAATTTCTTCACATATAAACAAGTTTTATCTTTACGTAAAATTATACATTCTTGCTTATATGATATGAACTTTGAATCGATACTAATTTTTTTCCGTGTAACTGCACATCGGCAACAAAATGTTCAAATTATATTGAAATGAAATGCTAAAATCTCATTGAAATATATTATGTAAACTAGAAAAAATCATCTACACACACACACACAGTTCTTCGAGAATCGAAATTCTTCAAAAATCGTTACGTATTTGCGTTCAGCGATATAAAACAAGCTCATATAACAACAATAACAATAGTCAATAATCGTCACTTGGATATAATTTAGGGATACGTGACCGACAGTTCTCTTCCGTTACCATTCGATCACTCCGGGTATATATTTGTCAATCAGTTTCTCGTAATAAGGCCATAGTTGCTCGATGTCAGGCATGGCGTCGCTCTTAGTATACAGATCGTACTTGCTGCAAAATGAGATTCATAATGTCAGATTAATATCCTAATGGACCACTCTCTCTCTCTCTCTCTCTCTCTCTCTATCTCTCTTACTGTAGCTGTGCTTAAATGCAACATAATACTCAACGCTTACTTGAATTCCACCACCCACTTCAATATCTTCATATCCTCGGGAGTGCAGAAATACATATAGTCGCCGCCGGCGTGCCAAGGGTAAAACGAGTGGAAGCGAATCATCGCCAGAGCCTGCTTCGGCAACTTACTCTTGTTGTGCTCTAGTATGCGGTACAAATATTCATCGTGGCCCCACGACATCATCAGATTGGATATCCCGCACTTGGGCTTGTAGATACCGTACTTCGTGCTACAACAGAGATATCGCTGCCATCAACAAAGACAATTTCACATTATCCTGTTCGTCATCTAGATCTTCAAAGGAACGTGACATCGTCGTACGGGAAAGAATCATTTAGAAGGACGGTAAATTTTGTGTTGTGGCGAATAAATAAATTTACAGAGTGTTTTTAACAATTCATATAAACATTTTTCTCTATAAAATAATATCAAAAAACAACAGTCAATAGCTAAAACATTGAACAGTATTTAAAGTATTTAAATATATTACCCATTACTGTAGTATTTTCAGTGGCGCATCAAGGGGACCACTCATAAATTTAGTATTTATCAAGCAAAATTACGTTCCTATGCATTTATTTTGCTATTTAAATAATAAATGTTAACTTCAAACGAAGTTGAAGTAAACGTATGCACACGATATTACAAGTGCAAAAATATTATTTTTTATTTTTCTCGTTAATACTATTTTCTATGCATTGATTGATCCAATAGAAATATACAGATAATAGAAAAAGGTATATTAAATGTTTAAATATGTGCATATCTACATGTATTTCGAATATTATTTTAAATTATAAACTTTACTATATTAAAAAAAAAAAGTGGCTAATAATTCTGAAATTTTGATCATTCTGACCATTCTGAAAAATTATGTATAATGTCTGCATATATGTTAATTTATTTATCTTTATATATTAGTCTTTAATACCATAGTAATTTTTCATTAAAATTTAATTTTTAGTTTAGAAGATATTAAAAATATAAATAAAAAATATAAATTAAAAATATAAATTAAAAATATAAATTAAAAATAACACGCTAATCTCTTAAGGAACAGACATAAAAAGTGTTAATTTTAGTAACAAATATATCATTTCTCGAGTTAACTAATCTTTTTCTGATTGCACGAGTGGTTAGATAATATTATCCAATGTACCCAAGCAGCACCTTTAGTTTCATATACGTTCTTCGAACGTGTGTAATACGATTATGAAACGCTACATACGTTTAAAAAACGTATATAAAATTAACATGTGCTATCTGGGGTATACATAGTGCATGTTTCATCAAATTCTTATTAAACTCATTTTACCTTGCAACCTCCTTAAAGTGAAATAACTTTTGATTCAGGCTCTGAATTATCACCAAACTTTTGGTGTCACTTTTAAATGCAAGTCGACTTGTAATTTTTCTATAACTTTCCCATTATTTTGAGACACGGATGATACATCTTTAAGAAACACCCAATATATATTTATTTATTTACTACGACCTTAAAGCTGCATAAAAGAGCTACATAAAATCTGCTGTCCCTTCAAATTATTTTTCTCCATACGATCGTTGTCTCACGTTTGAAACATTCTCAGATATACGGAGCGTCTCGCAGTAGCTCCCGGAGTTTAGACTTTCGGCGAAGATCTCTTACGGGATTTCAGCTTGGTTATCACAGGTTTTCCTCGCCAGCGCGTGTTCCTATGTTTAGAGTTCCTAAGTTTACTTTCTCGTGCACATAGAGCGTGCGGAAAAAGTGCGACATACTTGTAGCGCGAGTCCTTGCCGTCGGGATTGTCGTCGAAGCTCGTCTCCCTGTATACGATGGAATCACCCCAGGCGCAACCGACTGGGAACGTGTCACCCACTACCGCCCATTGAGGTTCTCCGTAGAATGCCATTATCTGCCACACGGTCAACTGGTTATCCAATTATATCGCACTAGTGTAAGTGCAACCGACGACGAACGACGGTCCTCCTTGCTGCGGAATTTCGCTCTTACAAGCGAAAGATTCCGCTTGTAGACTCGACGTCCAAAGCGGATTCACACGGATATTATACGAATTGTCGTTAAACAAAAACTTTGTTCGTCGAAGGGGAAGGGGGAGCGAAATATATACCGTTAGTTACACGAAACATTTACCTTGCCGAGATCATGAATTAAGCCGGTGAGATGGAACCAATCCAAGTCCGGATGTTCCTTTCTGATGGACTCTGCGGTTTGAAACGCGTGGACAATGTTGGGCATATCTATATCCGGATCACTCTCGTCCACCAAGTCGTTTAATTTGATCAGGGCGTCCTTCACCGACATCTTGAACTTGTTGAACTGGAGCCAATCCTTCATGCGAGCTGCAAGAACATTAATTAGTCAGATTCTCGAAAAGCTTTAATTCTTCAACAGCAGATCCTCAGATTGAGACGACGCATCTTCCCAATTATTCTGTGTGTGATAAATAATTAGGAAACAATGATCTTACAGAGACATTCTCTCTTCCACGAATTCGGAACCACATTTATTTTTCGTTAACATTCTTTCACTTCATTCCAACATTTTCGCTGTGAAGGTGAATCGATAAAATAATGTAATATATGTTTCTATTGTTATTTACATTGTACGAACTCGACGGTTTGATTGGTATGCATTCTCTTGTAGGTTTTGCGGACACGTTCCTTGATGGGATCGTCAGAATTCTCGGTGTAATTTCGAAAATCACTTTGTAATTTCCCTGCATACACCGGCTCGGGCCGAAGCTTCTCCGACGGATCCAGCAGCATGGTGTGATCAGCACTCTGTGTCTGTATGAAAGGAATACTTAATCAATCATCTTGATTCATCTTAGGTATTTACACAGAGAAAAAGGTTTCTTTGGATTTATTATACGTGTTTATTTGATTTCGGTTTGTTTAATATAAACAACATAATTTAATATCAAATATCATTCCGTTTCATTAAAAATGTTGTTTCACTGGAGAAATATTCTTTAATAAAAAAAACAGCTAACTTCAAGTTGTACATGTTACTACAGTTAACAAAAAAAAATTGACAAATGGACATAGGTCACTTTCAAAATAAATGGCTCATATGATGTTACTTTTTTTCATACTTAATTGCTTGTGACAACCTTTATAATATTTGGGTTAAAATATAAAAGAAACATATTATTTAACGTAAAAATATTTATTATTTGAAAAGAGCCAGAAAAACTTTTTTGTTGAATCAAAAATTCGTTTGTTTGCTGTATTTCAAAAAAACAAATTTGTTTCAATTAGAAAAAATTGTCTTTAATTAAAAAAATATGTTTCAATTAAAAAAATATTCTTAAATCTAAAGAAATCTTTTCTCTCTGTGTATTTGTATCCATTTCTTCCTGTATAAATCGTTGCGCGTCATACGATCACGCCTATTTCATATCTTATCTCACGTAATTTATGACGAATTTTCTTTACGCCTACGAAAATTTATGTGTAAATTTATTTGTTTTTAACAATTAATGTACACATTAGTGCAATAAATTACACGTTGCGTGCATGCACATATCGTGCAATATAAAATATATATAAAATTACGTATTGTGGTACGTTCGCATTCGCGAATTCCCCTGACATGATTATCACGTGATGTGCGACGAGTTGTCGCGAAGAAAAATCGGTAGAAATTTTATCTTATACGTCAGCGCACTATCTAATACGCACACTGGATGTTGAAAAAGGGATACGGATATTGTATATACATCTATGAAAATTCTCCGTGACACTACCAGGTATAGACATCAGTTTGTGATGTGAATGAAACTATCGAAATAGCATTGATATCGACTGCAAGTATTATGTAATGATTTTATAATCTTCATTTTCGGGCGTAAACATTGGCCTGAAAATGCGGTATATGTGTGGCATACGTCACTGAAATTTTTCCAGAACGTATTACCACAGAACGTATTACGAATTGTACGAATAATTCGGAAAATCGTAATCTCTTGTGACCGGCAGATAAAAGTTTGCCACCTACCAAAATTTTCCTTGTTTGTATATTCAATTGTGAAGCTGTTTTTGAAATATGTCGTTTTTAATCAGAGACAACCAATTTTTGGAGAAATCGCTTTTTTAGAATCGAAATTTTCGATCTGGCAGGTCTCACTGCGAAATCCCGGATTCAGATTACGATACTCACGATCATCTTAGCGGACATCTGATGGCTGTTTATCGGTTACTGGTGAACATGCAAACGCAGACTGACTTGTCCTGTGTGCAACCGAGTTAACTTATAAGTCGGAGACGATTCACCTTTGATCCCTGCCTCGTTCGAGTGTGGTCACATAGACGATATCAAATTTTACGCTAGTGGATGTCACCATCACTGTTCCACACAGTTCTAAACTACCGTGAGCAACGATATCGTCTGCGAACAACCGCAATTATCGCGGATTTTCATCTGATACCAAGCTCCGTTGCTTTTGTAATGATTTACGGAAATGACTATTAAATCTTAAAATTATATCCTGTAAATTAGTGTTAGTACATAGTGCGTCGAATACGTAAAAGAGACTGGCCGACAGTATATATTCTGACGTTATCTGCTTTCTGTTAAGATATCGCAGGTAGCAAACTAAGAATTTACAATACTTTTCCGACTTTTCAGTATAGGCAAATTCTACAAGGTGAAAGCGTCTCATTAAACGAGTCTTGGATAAAGAAGTGGCGTCGTGTTTAAAAAATATAATTATCGCGATAATGCGGAAATTAGACTGGGACCGGCATAGGAGGATAATATCACTTATCATCAGTTATGAATGACGTCTTTATATGACGAAAGAAATTGCGACGCACTCTTCTATGAACGCTTTGAAAAAAAAGAACTCACGATCTGCAGGATTTTCTTGTTTCAGCAATTTGATCTCAATGAAGGTCTTGTTCGCTCTCCCAAAACGACGTTCGCTTATAGATTACGAAAAACAACCGATCCAATTCGTAAGTCACAAAAAGGTTGCAACAGTTCTTCTTTAATAAATTTAAAAACGCATTTCAATATTCCAACCTCCGGTAGGAAAATTTGTTTTTAGTCATCCTTAAGAGATTCATTTTCTTATTGGGTATACGAGATTCGCTGCGAAACTCGTCGAAAAAGAAGTGTTCCCAAGCAGAACGAATTAAAATGATGTCAAAATGACTTTCAAGGATCAATTTTGATATCATGGCAAAAAACTGATAAAATTATAACATTTTGGAATTTACAGATTTCATTCACTCCAAATAAATTGTTCAATATATTTAAATTATATATATTAGTATCCTATAAGTGCGTAATATTTCTATAGAATATTATATGAATATTATTCAATATTAAAATAATATTCTTATAATATTCTAAGAATGTTATGTAATATTTTTTAATATTATAGGAATGTATTAATGTTATATCCACTTCACACAATGCAATTAATGTGTAAAAATATTCTTGGCATATTATAAAAATGTTTTTAAAATATTAAAAAAAATAATAATAATATAGAAACATATATAAATAAAATATATACATATACATGCATACATATGTATATATGTATATATATATATATATATATATATGTGTGTGTGTGTGTATACTTTTCTTAGTATATAACTTATTTTTACACAAGTCTTTCGATTTTATTTATATAATAAAACAATTGGTATTGCAATACATTT